CTGACAATGTCTTCCTGTCATAAATTACCATTGGTGGTATGCAATTACCAGAAGCGTTGACACAGGCAAGAATTGTTATCTGTGATTTGTCACCTGAAGTAATTCTGACTGCATTGGTACCACACTTGTGAATAGTTTTTGGAGGGTTTGGATTCAAGGGCATGCCTGTCTCATCCATATTAAATATTTGACTTGCAGACAAACCATTTTTATCAATTGATGATGACAAAATGTTGAAATAATTATCAATGATAACAGGATCAGTTGCTGCTGCATGAACAGAAGAAACAAATGAAAGAATTCTTAAAGAGAGAGAGGGGTATCAGCTAATAAATGACTGCCACCATCCACCAGAAACTATGATGCGGTTAGTATTGCGAGAATCAATGATATGTTGCACAAGTGCTAGAATACCGTACTAACGGGTTATTAAGTGTAGGCGCTTATGCAGAAAATGACAGAAAAACGGGCGCTTAATAATGACTCAGCGCTTAATAAATACAGTAGGTGTGGTTTGCAATAATAATTAATTAATCACTTTACTGGCTTTACAATGGCGGGTGGTGAAGAATGATCTTTTGACAGTCTGGTTCGTGGCCACAACGCTTATATAAAGTGTCTGGACTCCTACTGCTGTAACTCCTACTGCTTGGACTCCTACTGTTTTGTACTGCGCTTAACAAACCCATGCTAAGAGCTACATTGAGCTAGGCGCCTAATAAGAACTAGGCGCTTAACAACGAAGGGCGCTTAACAACGAAGGGCGCTTAATAACCCGTTAGTTAGTACAGTATCTTGTCTTGTTTTTAGGGTATCCGATGGATGCCGAAGCTAAGATAAACTTTTATATTTCTTGCGCTTTGTTATCAGACAAATATTTGCTTGGCCCACTAGTTGCCCCATCTAACACTCTACCACTAGCTCTGTCCCCTAATGTAGACTTAGGAATCCCATAGTCTATAGCTGCTCTTCGAATAGATACACCACTTTTCACTGCCTGCACAGCTCTCTCCTTCGAAGATTTATCCCAATTTTTACATGTCTGTGGCCTTTGGTTCTTTAAATTTGCCAACGATGGGTAGTGAGATGGCGGCTGAGACAACGACTTGGACTTGTAAACTCTATTGTACAAAGAAGCACCCTAGTCAGATATGATACATGGGGGTCTTAAAAAATAATTGATTTTAGGTATGACCAAGAAATAATTTGCTACCCTTCTTTGTAAGAAAAATAGTTTTTTGTCTATAAAAAACGAGAAGCAGCAGTTCTTCTAAAAATTTTAGTAGCTGAATCAAGCAACTATTAGAACATCACAAAAAAGTGGAAAGTTTATGGAGCATATAATTTTGGCGACCTTTGTCCGATGAACAATCTTATTGTCAGTGAATACGTATTTTCGATGGTATTTTTTGTTAATTTTTCTTACAAACAAGAAAAGCATGTACGAAGTAAGGTCTATGTTTTGAACAGTCAATGACTTGAGTTTATCACTGTATTGCACAATATCACAAAAAGTATTTATAAACAGAAAAAATAATACTTTTGGTGTCTGAAAATGGGTGTTGGCCGATTATTAATTGCCTACTCTCACTTAGACTTGCGTTTAGCTATCTTGGTAGTTGGTGTTGCTTTTCGTTGTTTTTTCATCTCTTTTTTTCCTTTCTCCCCTCTTTCGTACTGTTTCTCTTCTCTTCTTTTCTTCTGTTTTTCACTCTTATCTTTTTTTTCTGTCATTGCTCTTCTTTTTTTCTCCTTCTCTTCCTCCTATATAATCAACCTATCATACAGTTCATCACTTGTTAAAGCCTCTCGGTAAAGTTGGACTTACTTTTTGTGCATCACCACCACTCTTCTTATAATTACTTTAAAAACTGTCAGCAAATTGGTACTTCAACTGTAATGAAACATGAGTAGTGATGCAGTTGTCTAGCTTGCAACTTCTAACGACTTTAACTGAAACATGATCATATTTATCTGTGACTTAATTTAATGACTCTAATGTTGATATTTCACTAAATTTTGATTGACCTGAAGAGGTTGATGATTTAGAAATTGATTGTGTACGAACCTTTTGAGGACATGTGAATAGAAGTACCTTGCTTTGTTTGGTTTTGAGGTACTACAATGTATTCTTATGAAACAGGCAAAGTCCAGCCTTTTGAATGCATTTTTTTATGTGGGATGGAAGAAATATAATATCATACCATTTTGAAAGAAGACTTGGAAACTCCTCTTCAGTAACGATTGAGGCACAAGTGCTTATTGAATACTTTGTTCATTTTTTTGTCCAGGATGACCTCTAGCGATTGGAGTAATAATGAATTGTAATGTTGTTTATTTAATTTGTTAAAAATAGTTGATTATTATACTGAAACACACTAGTCATTTGTGAATTAAGGTTAGGCCTACTTGCAGTACAGTACTCATTGCAGCTCAATCTCCTCATCAGTGTCCGAATCAGAATCATTGCCATGTTTCACTACCTTTTGTACCAGTTCAGCATCCAACAAGTGGCGGTTCAAGCGTAGGAAAAGCAACATTTCTAGTGTGATGTGTTTCATTGTCTTCCTGAGGTCTGAGTAGACAAGCTTCACCAAGCTAAAGAATTGCTCACATATTAAATGTTTGTCGTATGAAATATAATGACTTGTATTGAGGTTAAATAGGAACATGTTGCTCACTCCAACCACCTTTACAACTAGCTTGTCCACCATAATGAGCTGAAGCTGATTTGGATACTGTTATTTTTTGCCTCTTAAGGGCCATTTCTGCAAAAGCTTTTAACTCCTCTGTTGCATTGGCTTTAGTAGCAATAATTGTAGTTGGAGTAAGTTCAAAGCAATGAGCACGTTTTATTTCTTTAGCTGTCAACTGCTGATTATCTTGAATTTTCAATATAGCTTCTTTCAAAATATTGTCATAGATGATTTCAGCATCTACTGACAGGTATCTAGTCATCCCAGGAAAATACCAGGAGCCCTTGAAAATACTCTATAGCATAATAAAATCAGACTCTGACTTCAGTCATAGGTAGCTTTGGATCCTGCAGCTTTTTTGTCACTGACTCTAGTTTCTTCAACGTTTTTAGAAGAGTTACAACACTAAAAAGGGAAAGATGTATAATAAGTATTAAAATTGCTATTACCAGGATTAAAAAACATACATTATCTGCTGGGCTCAACATCAATGGTAAGATGCCAAGGCATGTAATATCTGTAGTTTGAAATTTACCAAATAGTAGAATGAATTTTACATAATGTAAAGCCATAGTGAAGGTGCTGCTCCAAGTTGCTGATAATAAGAATACAAAAATCCTGTTGCACTGATTGGCAAGGTTACAAAACAATGTGTGTAATATAAAATGTACAAAATTAAAAGCCATTCATCACAAACCTGTTGAATCACATTAAAACTAGCAAAGAATAGTTAGTATAATGCTAAATGTCAATCATCCAAATTGGCAGACGTGATGGCATGTCTTTGATCAATATTTTTAGTCTTCTCAATAACTTCCTGACTCTTTTGTATATATTGACTTTTGCTTGCATTTTGAGGCACTTTTCGAATAAAAACTAATTTCCTAATATTAGTCCCAGGATTATAAGTGAAAAAACAGGGACAAATCGTTCAGGTGCTTTGAGTTCTGGCACTAAACAATATTTCTTACCAGGGTCTAGTGATAAATGCTCGTATAGTGACAAAGGAATAAAGAGAGGCTTATCTTTTAGTAAGTCATCTATTGGTTTTAGAATTGATTCAGATGCCTGCTGTACAAATTTAGGTTTAAGATTGTCTGCCAAGTCTTGAACTGGAGCCGTGATTTAGTTTTGAATGTTTATTTTTCTGAGATACACATTTGGTGTTAAGGCCACTATAGAGTTTAATAAGGAATGACTTTAACTCATTCCAATGTGGTCTACTCCAGTAGCTGCAGGGAATCAATAATTTTAAGGTATTGATTGGAAGTGACGAAAAAATTGTGACTGCAACATTTATATTTCGGAAAAGAGCAAATGAGAGGAGGAATAGGAACTGCTCTTTCATAAAAAATGTGATGGTGTCTGTCAATGTGCTATATATTATATGTCACAGAGTGAACCAACCATCTTTTTACCAAAGTCTTGTAGTTCTCTAACAAAAAGTAATGCATTGCGAGAGACAAATAATTTGATTATATCAGTATATAGCAAGTCTTTCTTATTCTTGACAGTAATTGGTGGCAAAAAGTTAAATTATTAGAAATAATATTTTCACTCAAATGATGCTGAAATCCTCACTCTCATCAAAATACTTTACAAACCTTCAAAAAGAAGTTAATGTATGTCAGGCGATAACAGTGCATCAAATGGTACTGTCAAAAAATTGCTCTTTCGTTGGAAGAATTGTCCATCGAAATATAGGGCACCTTGATAAGTGACAGAAAACAGTGGTATTGACCATATTCATACTTGAACAAGCCATTTTTATGTGACACATTGTGATGATAAATATGATGAAGAATTATTACTATTTTATGGTGGCATGTGGGCAGAATGTGGGAAACTATAAAGTTAATTGCAGAGCCCTAAATTGAAAATGAAGGTCCGTGACTAGGAAATGCAGTTTATTGTAAAATTTGTGTTCTTCATTTACGTAACAAGATACATGCAGTTGCATTGCTGCATATACAGCATGTTTATTAAATCTTTGGTATATTGATAGGTGCTAAGTGCTAATGAATTGAAATCAGCCCAGGAGTCAGTGGCTTATGGATGCATCAAATATGCTGATCTGTGTCATACACGAACAAATGATTACATATTTTCATTTGACAAGGTGAATTGTCATTATAATTTGTACTGTGTTGTAGCATATAATGTTATTATAACAGATTTTATATCGTAGTTTTGTCTGTATTTCATTGCTATTATAATTTTTGAGTTGTTACTTATAAAGTAAACCTTTCTGGCTTGTATTACTTTTTTTAGATGTTAGAGGATCGTGGAAACACTGCTGTTTATCTTCTTTATGCTTATACACGTATTAAGTAAGCCAACAATACTTGTTCATTTTTTATCTATTAAAATAGATCCATTCTTCGAGTTGCTAATGTGACTCAGGAACAGCTACAAGAAGCAGCCAGAAATATTGTTCTTAGTCTGGATCATGAAAAGGAATTTAAACTGGCTAAATGTATCACTAGATTTTCAGAGGTTCTAGATGATGTTGCTTCTGATCTCTTTCCTCACACGCTTTGTGACTATATCTATGAATTATGTACCACAATGACTGAGTTTTATGATGCTTGTTACTGTGTAGAGAAAGACAAAGAAACTGGAGAAGTTCTTTCTGTCAATATGAGTCGCATTCTATTAATCGAGGCTACAAGAATGGTACTTCAAAAGTCTTTCCATATTCTAGGATTGGATCCTGTGGAGAAAATGTAACAATAATTATTTGACATGGCTATGGTAAATTATTTTATAGTCCTTGATTGTAATAGAAGTGCTACAATAAAATCATTTTAGTATAATAGTCATTATAATTATGCTGAAATATAACACATCCTTATTGTGCATGCCAAATTTTCTTCATTGAATGTTACACAGGCTCTATAATTTTTGTAGTAGTTCAGTGCTACATGTAGTCGATTTGCATTCATCTGAACCCTCATTTTCTTGCTATAACTTTTGACTTACAAGTTCCATTGTAACAATAGACATATAGAATAGTGCATTCCCTTCCTTTTGCCAAATCTAATGTGGTACAGTAGTGTCTGTAGCATTTTAGTTCAAAGTTGGTTGTGTAGCCCCTGTAGCCATATTTATCACATTATTGGGTGGGGTCTGTATTTCTTTGGCTCAGGTTGATGTAAAAGGGCTTTAGTGTCATCAAGAGTAGATCTACTCTTAATATCATCAACAGTGCACTAGAGCAATAATAATAATAATAATTATCAAAACAGTATTTTCTACAGTAGCGTCAAACAATAATTTAAATAACAAGTCATGAAAAGGTTCAAAATGTTTTAATCAACATCCATGTCTTCTACTGGAGGATCAGCAGGTGCTGGAGGTACATCCTCCATTTTATCTTCAGTTTTGTTCTCTTCTTTTCCTGTTTCATCCCCTCCTTCACCTTCAACAGCTTGATCATCTTTTGGTGGTTCAACTTTAGGTTTGGGTTTAGACACGATGGGATTGACAATAGCGTACAGATTCTGCAAAAGTATAAACAAAATGCAACTAATTATTTGTACGTAAAGAAGTAACAAAGACTTGGCCTTACTACCATACAGCTCCAAACTAACAAAAATTTCATCAAAATCTTACATTAATTTGTGTCAATAAATTTTCGTCATTTTTGTTATTAATCTGCATACTTCCACATGGAACAACAAATAAAAATTTTGTGAAGTATTAATTCTTGAAAAATTTGACAGAAATTTTGGAGCTATGCAGGAATAAGAAGTGCTCTCATTTTGTTGCTAAGAATACATCAGGTAAGGGTGAAAGACACATTTATTGGGGCTTATAATGTACATGTATGTATGACAACTACCGAAGCTTTACCCATTTTAGTCATTGCATTAGCATTACTAATAATGTGATCCTAATGTTTCCTTGTACCCCATACATAAAATAGAAGTATTTTATTGTCTTCCTGGACAAAAGTGACGTTACAAGACCAAATGGCATTGCAAAATAGGCAGCAGGTGTTTTTAAAGATAACAAATGATCTTACTAATGTGACGAACCTACACATAGCTGCTAGCATAATTAAAGTATACGGTGTAACGAATCATAAACAGATTATAGAGGGATCAAAATCTACCATAATGATCTCACCTCTTTTGCCATTGTAATTTCAGAAACTTTAACAACAGGATCAGCAGTGAGAGGAACTTTTTGTTGCGCTTGCATTTTGCTGTTCATCCATTCTCTCTTTGCAGTTGTAGCTTCTTGCACTTTTTCCATATCTTCCTTGGACAAATGATTATATTTCTCATCCTAAAATGATTATAGATTAATGAGGCTGTACTATTAATAACTCCAGAATACAATAAAACTGGTACCAAAACATGCTGTTGAAATAAAGTAAGTGTGAATTTCAATAAACTGAAGATTGTACTCGAATTTACATAAATAGTATGAGACAATGAACTATAGCAAACAAAGCAAATATGTGACCATAATTGACAAAGGGTACCTTATGGCGGATTTTAAAATTCATCATTATAATGAAAAATATCAACCAGTGAGTGCTCTGTTGGACATCTATTGTTTAAAAGTTACATAGTAACTTTCTACATCCTCTGGAGTAATTTTATGATAAATGGAGCTCAGGAAGTTGGATTTTTTTTGGCTATAAAGATGAATTTCACTACCTGCCATAAAGTACCCTTTGTCAATTATGGTCACATATATAAAAATCTTTTAGAATGCAGGTGCATGTACATGTAGCACATAATGCATAATATAATTTGTTGATGCAATGTAAATGTACTTGTGTATATAATATCACATAGCAACTATAACAATTCAAGAACTTACTCCTTGCTCATATTCCATAAGTATTTTTTCATAACGAACCACCACATGACCAAGTTCATTAAAGGAAGAATCACGAAACTCAAACTCTCTCATTCTTGCTACTATAGGATCTCCTTGCTTCTTCATATCAGCTAGTCTCTCAATGTATACTTTCTTGGCTTGATCTTCTCCTTCATCATATAACCATTCCTCAGTAGCCTCTAATAGTGACATCAATTTTGTCTTATCCTAAAAAAAAAGATGTCAAAGAGCAGTCATGAGTTTACAAAGAGAGTACATTGCTAGTGCATTTAGGCCAATCTGCACTGTGCAAATTTATCATTAATGACAAAGCAGAGTATTGTTATTATTTGTATAATCATGACTATTACTTAATTTAAGTATGGTGCCAGTTCATGAGATAAACACAAGTACATGTTTATGCAATACTTGAAGGGAAAATAAATGTATAATTTATTTTATAATACATGCAAACAAAAAATTAAAATTGAAATTTACAAATGTTTCACAAAAATGTAACTTAAATGCAATTGAGAACAATATAAACCATTCCCATCTTAAAGGTCATGTACAGTGCAATATACAAAAATTAAACTGCAAAAAGTACCTCTTCATTGACAAATTGAGACAGGGGTCCCTCCAATTTATCTCTCATGTCATACACATATTCCTCCACAGAGTTCTTAGCATCAGCCTTCTCAGCTTCTAGTTTATCAGACTGTATCATTGCTACCTACATTGTACATAAAGTGTCAACCATAAAATAAAATGGAAGTGACTGAGCTTTCATATTTACTGTGAATGATTTTGTAATACAGCTAGAAATATTAGATGAGAATTAATGGTGGTACGTCAAAACTATCATCTATCATTGTGCTTATTTTGAAATTTGAACATGCTTAATGATGTGTCTGCTTGCCAGCATTTCCTACTGTGAGCACATACATTTAATTCACGGTCTGTATAGCATTATTTGATGTACTGCTACATGTACAAGTACTGTACATGTATGTATCATACCTCTTTTTCAAAAGCTTCTTCTAATACCTTCTTAGACAGTGAATAAGTTGTTTCATCAACTGGTAGGTCAACATGCTTGTATGTTTGCTTTGCTTTCTTTGTTGCTGGTGATTTCTCTGTCTGAGCAGTAGATACATCTGACTTTTGCTGACCCTAAATGAAGACACGTATGTAATTAATAGAAAATTAACACTGTATATCAAATATTTTAGCTACTACAGAATATCTCTTGAGCATGTAAAATGGTTGATGTGTATTAGTGAGATCAAAAGTCACATTAATTACAAAAGCAAATTAAAAATTCATGATCACAGACAGACAATCAAAGTACTTAATACTCGCCTACGCGGCGAGTCCAATTAACTTCTGGAAACAGGTAATGCAAAGCTAGAAAATTTGGAGTATCAAAACTTGGTTAATTGACTCTAAAAGATTTAGAGGTAAAAATTTTGGTAAAATTTAAATAATCGCATGCAGCTACATGTACAAGGTCCTATATAATTGGAGACTAAAATTTTGGCAAATGGACACTCAATTTGCCAAAATTTTATGCTGACAACTTTCTAAAATGTCAAAAGTTACAATATACAACACATCTGTAACTTGACTTATAGTATATTACGTGGGCGTAAGGCACCACCAGTATATTATATTGCATAACATCACTCTTCTAACTACGTACAGGTTGTACATGTATGCTGTTATGATATATACCCACAGTGGGTGTGACTTTAAACCATGATAAAAAAATCAATTTGTAGACTATGAATGAATGGTACATTTAATGAAAATCCAGCGACTTTCTGTAGTAAGCTTTTGCTCTTTCTGGGTAACAGAAATCAGTTCTGCTTTTTTTGCATTCTTGCTGTCTCTTGACTTCTCACTAGAATCAGCATCTAATGTTCTCTTCTCACTCTCTTCTCAAAATGGAAGCACGTGGTCATGTGGTTTAGGGCGATTCATTTGGTATGCCCCTAGCAACCATAAATTATTTAAAGCACTGGAAGCACGTGCTGTGCAGAATAAAACAGCACTCAGGGTGAATCTTGATTGCAATACAGCACTCGGCGTGCTGTATTGCAATCTAAACCCCATCCCTTGTGCTTTAAGTAATAAATATGGCATAGATTTAGATGTATAACAATTACTGCATTACTAAAAAAATTACATTACATCTTACTAACGTTTTCAGAGGTAGAACTAGGACCTTCTGGTTGAGGGACAGTTGAATCCATAGTATCATTGTCAGTAACATCATCTTGGGGTTTTTCCTGTGACTGAAGACTTGCATCAGAATTGGAAGACTGAGTTTCACTATCTGCAGGAGAAGCTTGAGTGTCTGATTTTGGTTCAGCTTTAGTGTCAGATTCCACATTTTGAATTTCTTCGATTTGTCCTGTCTCCATTTCTTCAGCCTGCTAAATAGAAATATGCATATGTAAATAACAAAAAAAAGTAAAATTTGAGCTCCACAAAATAACATTAAAGTACATCAGTAAAAAGTACAAATATATACATGACAATGACATATACATGTACATTTACATCTAAACACTGAAAAAATGTTACAAGTATAAAACATAACAATGAAGTACATGTACATGTACCTGTTTCATAATCAGTGTAGCTGATTTAATGAAGAATATTCCATGAATACTTAATCGAACTTTAACTTTGACTTTTGTTGATTCTCCCTCTTCATTTGCTTTAACACCCTTGATTAAAAATTTACCTACGTGTATATGCAGAGAATTAAAAAATAACTAAGCCACTTCAATGACAAGACACCATGAACTAACATAAAAATAAGCAATAGCTTACATTTATTGCAATAAGTGAAACTAACATGCAACTGTCGTAAATACACGAATAACACAAATTACAAAAATAAAGTACTGTACATCAAACAATATATATGTAAACATTCTTTACATCTATATGAACATTATAGTGTGTCTGAAATGATGATGTGATGTACAACTACATAGTATATACCAATATTAGAATTAGATACAGGAAGTGCTTTTTGATCTTTGTATTTAACTTGAAGTACAAAAGGTTCTTTGCGGTAAAAAGTGAGAACTTTCGAATGATAGATGGAATCTCCTTCCAAGAACACAGTCATATCTCTATTAAAAGTGAAATTAAGAATGCATTAAGTGTAACGTTAATAAAGGCACATGCACATGAAACTACATGTACACAATTAGTACCATATTCTCATACTCATTTCTTCTACATGCATCTTACCCTGGTTCTCCATTAATTTCCCACAGCAACTGAATAGGGTATGGCTGAGTATCTTGTATGGCAAAGTCTCGGACTTTAAAAGTTGGCGACAGTATTGCACACTACAAAGATACAATTTCAAAAGAAGAGTATTAGTGTAAAATTACTATACAGTACCGCTCAGCTATAAGTTTACTTATTGTGTACATGACACGGGTGCAGCTTGGCTATGCATTCAAGCTGCACTAGTGAAGGTGCACCTGTATCGTGTATTTATCATTTACATCATGTACTTATCTCGTGTTGTGGTGCACTCGTGTAGTTATTGCACCAGTGTGGAACGCAGGTAATGCTGGAGATTACTCGTGTAAACGAAAACTTATAGCTGAGCGGTACTGTATCTCCCCAAAATTACTTTTACCACTTTGCACGTGTAAATAGAGGTTCTCTCTTATTTCTACATTCAATGCTTCTAATGAGTCTTTAGACAGTATGACTGTGCTGTACATATGTTGTAGTACATTAAAGCACAAAACTTTGTCAAAATTTTAAGCTGTGATTTTGCTTGTGGTGGCCATAGGTACATGTATGCACACGGACTTTATGTAAGGGGTGTGGATGTTGTAAAAACATTATTATCATATGCAGTGGCAATTAAAGGCAATTCTGTTAGAATAGACCATAATAATGTAACAGGAGTGTGAATAAACTGTAGGCAAGGGTGACCAATTTTTTTACTTTTTTGATACAAATTTACATGCAATAATAATAAAACAATAATTAAATAGTAAACAGATTAAATGTGCATACTGCATTATACAGAACTAAAACACTGTGAGCAAGCTAAATGTACATGTACATGTAAAAGCATAAATATAGTCAACATATAGCTTATCATTTACATGTACATGTACAGTAACAGTACTACACAGTGCACATGCATATGTATAAATTAAAGCATACTTGTAATGCACATCCTTTACAAACTGCTTCATCTTGGTTGAGTGTAGTAGAACATTCTTTATTAAATATATCACTGATAATCTTTCTGATAGCAGGTACACGTGTCATACCACCAACAATTTCAACTCCGTAAATATCATCTCTTTTTAATCCTATATGTACATTTACACGCATATGATCATAAAATTGTCAATTTCTTTGCAAAGTGCATGTACATGTAAATGTACCTGATTTCCGGAGAGCCTCTAAAATTGGTACTTTAACTCGTTCAAGTAAATCTTTACATAAATCTTCAAACTCTTCCCTAATATAAAATTATAATGAAAGCTAAATCTAAAACCATTAACTACATGTGTATACTGTAACGTGAATGCTTGGATAAATGTACATGTAAAAAAGTACTTTTTAGATATTTAATTGATACACATGCAGATCACCATCACTCTTTTAATTTAAATTCAACATACAAAAAAGAAATCATAAATACCTTTTCATTTTTGAAGACACATCCTTATCATCCATAAAGCACTCAATATTCATAGGAATAGGAGTAGCATTGCTACTCATTAATTTTCGCAACTTCTCACATTCATTTCTTAGTCGAGCTGTTTGTTTGATTCTTGACAAAGCATCGATCTTATATTTCACCTTAAATTCTTCAGCAAAATGATGCAGTAATCGTTTATCAAAATCCCGACCACCAAGCAAGTGATCTGCAGCCTTTGAAAGAACCTATAAATGTAACAAGTGTTAAAATGTACATGTTCATATAGACACATGTAGTACATCTAGCCCATAGCAATAATGCATAAGACAATTCACAGCCATATTAATGAGCACATGTGTACATGTATGTATCAGCCTCATGCAGTGACTGTATAATGTACAATTACGTTATTGATCAATACAAATATTCTATGATACCTTTAACTTTCCTTTATTGAAAGCACATACAGAAACTTGCAGTGCATGATGACCCATATCAATGAAAACGACATTACGTGATTTTTCTTTTTCCTCTGGCAAATCTTGCTTATATATACCATAAGCTAAAGCAACTATAAAAAATATTAAAAAATAATATATTCACAACAATAAAAAATTGATGCAGAGGTTAAAGCTAAAAATTTATACATGTACACTAACTTACACACAATTTGTGGCAGAATAGATTTTTGCATGAAGTTACTTAGCTAAGTAACCACTACATGTGTAATGCATAAGTAGCACTAGAAACATGTTGCTTATACTTGCTAGGATTTAAGGTGGTCGAACTTTTTCGCACGAGTTACATGCAATAAGGAATATACATGTACATGAAATTATACTTAACAATGATTCAACAGGTACGTGTATCAGTGCACAACTATAGATATATTGTGGGCCTCTCACTGTTTCACATTTTAAAAAGTTCTTTAAAGTGCAATCTAAGCACAAATATTGTTGTTCCAAAAAGTAAATGCATTAATGAAATCTTTTAGCATGCAGTCTGATTGCCACTACATCCTACTATTTATAAAATTTACACCTGTAACTGTTGACGATACATGTACAGTACAGTGCTGCAAGTAGAGCGCAGTAGAAAAGAGAACTTCATAGATACCGTACGCGTCTTAATTTTCGAGGTGTATTAAATTTCGTTATTTTCGTGCTCACCTTAAATCCACGAAATTTAAACCACCTCTAATGCCATTCTATTGTATGTAGATTATGGCCAGAACACGAAAATTAGCTCACACGAATATTAACTTTTGAGCACATTTCATTGAAAACACGAAATTTTGAACCCTCGAAAATTTGAACGTATACGGTAGCTACTTATTTGTACTTTGCTACTCTTTGCTGTGTTATGCCCAAAAAGTACTGCGGTACCACCTAGTCACATTTTCTGTAGTAGCAAGCGCCCAAGCACTGTATAGGCTCTCAAAAAACTTGAGGATACTTCTCTTGGCTGTCTGTGCTGTCCCAGTTTATCTGTACAGCTGCTCTAAGCTTTTATAAGCCTGTTCAGGAAGGTCTTCGCTCCATTCTACCGTCGAGCTACTATTTGCTACTAACCACGTGTGCTTCTACTACTGTCAAAATGTGCATGTGTGCAATGAAGTCCCTACGTATAAGTAAAGTAACTGCAGAAAAGCTACTTAGCTTTTTCCAAGCACTTTACTGTACATCACTTAAGTAAAAAATGTTGCTAAGTGTTTTAATGTACTGTACGAAGTACTTTATAGTTTAAGTACAGTATATCCTCAATTATCCGAACACCTTTGTGCACTTCTTTGGAGAGATGTTCAGATAGCTGAATAGTCTGGATAAGTGAAATACAGTAGACCGACCTATCCTATACTTTTTGAAGAGTAAATGTGTATGACTTTCCTTTCCCTAGCTCGCAGAGTATTTCAGGCTTCTCTTTGATGGTATTTCTCTTGGTTAAGCCCCGTGACCTCCTTGCTGTAGCAGCCATTTTAACCGGTTATTAATAAATTAACCACTCTGAGCATGCGCATTAGAGACAGCCATGTGTTCGGATAAACGAGGGTTCAGATCAAAGAGATACGGATAATTGAGAACGTACTGTACAATAAAGTAGAGTAGGATATACTGTACCGACGTATAATGTGATGTGTGAAATATTCCTACTGTTGTACTTGTTATCACCATTTTGCAGGCATACATGTACATGCAAGCACATGTATGGCTGGGCAAAGAGTTACAGAAGTTCTTTACCTTCTATTGCCTTTAAAGAATTAACCTTAATTTACATTATAGCTTCTCGTTATCTTGCTATTAACCACCATGCAAATCAAATGAAATTCTTTAGATAGTGGTGTTGTTGTACGTGTAGTTCCTTGGCACTAAAACTAAATCAATTCTAGTGCTGCTTTTTGTCATAGTTCTAGTTCCAAGAATTAGAACTAGTACTATATTTACTACAGTTTCAAGAACTAAAAATAAAGTAGAACTAGCTTATTCTAGTCTTGTGTAATGTAGCACTAAAACTTAACTAGAACTGAAAGTAGACCTATGCAGTTTAGAACTAGAACTGTAGAGCAATACTATGACACAGTATACACATGTACATGTATATTGGCTTTGGATGTGGCGATTTTGTGGATTAAAGATGAGCACAAAACAAAACAAAAATTACAACATCACAAATAATACATGTACATCATATACATTATAGCATAATTACAACACCTTTTCCTAACTTGTACACAGCTCAAATTGTACTGATCAACAATATATGTACATGCATGAAAGTACTTAACCATAAGTCAAATAATTACCATATACCGGTTTATTTACGCGGAGAAATATTTTCGCAAATTTCGCTGTTTCTTGCTCCTTTGCAAAATTTTTCACGAATTCTGCATTTCCATTGGCACGTGATGTAGACTGCAAGCCATTAGCAAAAATAATTTCTGCAAAATCTTAGGGATGCAAATTCACAAAAAATTTTTACTGTGATAATAAAAATGGTATACAGTATTACAATTACCCCAAAATTACCTGCAGTAGTTTCATTGAGTAATCTAAGACAATTAAGACCACTTATTGAACTAGCATCAAGTACAGCTCTCCGTTGACTATCAGTAAAATAAGAAGGCACCTACACAAACAAGAGTAATCATAACAATAATCGTGAAGCTTAAAGTTGCAGCAAGTTAAAATTCACTTACAGATATGACACAATCAGAAACTGGTTTTTCAAGGGCCTTCTGAGTAATTTGTTTCAGATAAGTTAACATAACAGCAGTAATTTGCTCTGGTGAGAGTACAACAGCCTCATCAAGATAATTTACCTGCAACAATACAGAAAAAATGATGCTGATGGCAAAATTGTGGTAGAATGTTTAAGCAAGAAACAGATAAAATGATGTATATGTTACATGTACATGTAGATTTGATCTGTGAATGCTATGGAAAATTAATGTAACTGGAATAAAAAAACACAGTTCCAATAAGCATAGATATTAGATTGGAAACTGCGTGGGCGGCCTGTATAAACCAATGGAAGGCGAAGTTATCACCTCCCGCATCCTAATCAGTCCATGGCAACGGGACAGGTCCACTTTTCTCTGTTCATAACTTAGTCCCAGTAGTTGTAAAAAATCAACAAATATGAATAAAATACCTTATAACTTTTATATTCATCAATCCAAATTTCATAAAGTTACTCAAAAGTAACAAACTGTTTCATTCAATACTAACAGCGGGTGTCAAGCGGGACCTCTTTTCTGATGTTCAGTACCTTTTACTAAAATGTCTCGTTTTACAACAAAGTAACAAGCATAGAACAATCAAGCGCTTTGAGTTGCATGTATATGTAACTAGGGTATTCTTAGACTTGTAGCTCATAGATCTTCTCCAGAAAGTCAAATTTTGTGCTGTAAAAGTGAAAAAGTTTCTGTACCTTTTTTTCCAAAACAATAAACATTTAAGCTAGGAAAGAAACACAGAGAACAGGTAATACATTGCTTTAGTTAACTGGCTAGTAATGGTATTGATATGTTCTTTTGAAATCCTATAAATATGTCATTCCCTGACAAAAGTTGGCTCTTCTCGTTTGGCTTTCACATTGTAATTATTGAACACGGAAAATTAGAATCTATACGGTGATAACTACTGCCTACACAGTTACCAATCTCTTCATACTTTATTATCTATGCAATAAGGCAGACAATTTAGCCACACCCTCTTATTAATTACAACTGTGCAGGCTTATTTCTTTGCAACTTAATCACTGGGCTTATTTTAGGATGCATGTACAAAGTGAATGAAGGAAAAAGCTACAACCTACATTAGAGGTGGGCAATACAATGCCAAAGAACATGTTCTCATTTATCTGATACCATGAATCTAATTGGTATCAAACCAGTGACCTCAAAACTACACAACATACATATACATGTACATGGGTAACCACATCCATTTACATTTAAAATTTACAATTTAATTGATTGATTTTCTTACATTTAATTTGTACATGTACGTGTAGTAGTAGTACAAATTCAGTACTCAATACTATCAACATCATATTAACTTGGAATAAATGAACAATTTATGGTATCACCCTCCTTGAACATACATGTACATGCATAGGTTCATTTTCCCATTACTTAATTTTTTAAAAATTTTGGCACTCATTTTGTCAGTAATAATTATACATGTTATTTACAGTTAAGTATGAGTCGATTTCTTTGGTGGCAAAATTCTGTTGATACTAACATGCCAAGGAATCAAAGAATGGAGTATTTCAGTATCAGAATCACACATGTCATACATGTAGTTATATCAAGTCATAACTCTTAGTGCCAATTAATGCACAACTTACCTTTATCCCAATTTTATCACCAGGCAATTGCTCAGCTTCATATGGCTGACCTTCTATTTCAGATTGTGACACAGGATCAGAAAAAGAACGACCAACAAGTGCTTTAAAACCAGTAATAGTATTCTTGAGATTGGAAATGCTCTGATTTTTGGCTGAAGTACTCATTACTCTTTCCTTTGGGGTAAACCCAACCATAGATCTGATATGACATAAACATATAAAAAGCATCATATTATCATAGTAAATAAAGTGCGAGAGAGAAAAAACTTACGGGGAGGACCTCTCACTGTAGTCATTAGTAATGACCTCTACACCACCATGACGAGCAATGGCTACATAACATGATTGATAACCGATATCTATCCCAACCACACTCATCTTCAGAAAAGCCTTTGTTAGTTGTTACTCTTCAGAATAACATAAAAAAGAGCAATTTATAATTAACGAAGTACAACCTGGCGAACTAACTCGATCCAACTCCTTGATTCCTTCTGGAACCTTCTTCACAAATCCGGAACCAATATGTTCACACCCATTTTTGACAACAGACGTAGCAACACGTGTAAAACCGTAAAAATCTTTATTCTGAGGACATGTTAACTTTTTTGACTGGCTTGAGTTGAGGCGGGCTGTATCACTAGTGGGCTAGTGTAAGACCACTGGACTGGCACTGTTATCTTGAGATGGACTCTTTCGGCCACTGTACATCAATTGAAGTGAGTTACATTACTTTGAAAATTGTCTATAATTTTTATATTAAAAATGTAATAAAATAAGCGTAAGTAATTAAAGGCCTTTCTACACTAGCACTTCTAATGCGCATTGAACTGGTTTGGAACCGGTTCGAGTCATTCCACATCTGATGCGCATTGACTTCAATGCGCATTAAGCCAAACCACCTCTATTATATCTATTCAATATCAGAAGTGTTTGGAATTGGAATCGAATGCAAATTTCTGGAATCGCCAATCTCTACCACATTTACTTACCATAGATATAATACACGGAACAGGATTAGAAACAGGATCACGTGAGCGCATTATCCATTGAAACACTCCTAGTTATATTGGAGCCCCGGGCAGCTGCTCGACCATTGCCGAGGCCCCCGACTGTTCCTTTTCAAAAAGTTTGTGGGACTCTAGCAACTTCGGGAGACGGCGAGATGCACTAGTATGAGCTTCTATGGCTACTCTCTGAGGATTTTTAGTGCATTAAGACATTTATTAGTGCTTAAACAGAAGTTTTAGAAAGTTACGGCATGTCAAAACGGATCC